GCAGCTGCAGCAGCAGGAGACGGAGGAGGAGGAGGAGCAGGGGACGGCGCACACAACCGGCACCCCCACAACCGCCACCCCCACACTCCCCACCCCCAAACCCTAAAACGGGTGGCACGGGGAAGGAGCGCGGGGGACGGCGAGGGGGAAGGCGCGCGGCCCCCAGGGCGCCACCATGGGGCAGCGAGGGGCCGCGCGCGGCCCCCCAGGGCGCCGCGACGGGGCAGCGGGGGGGTCGCGCACGGCTCCAGGGGCGGCTCGCGGGTCCCCGGGGGCGACGCGAGGGTCGACGGGGGTCGCGTGCGGGTCCCCGGAGGCGACGCGAGGGTCGACGGGGTGCCGCGCGCGGGTCCAGCGGGGCAGCGCGAGAGCCGACGGGGGGCGCGCGCGGGTCCCCGGAGGCGACGCGAGGGTCGACGGGGTGCCGCGCGCGGGTCCAGCGGGGCAGCGCGAGAGCCGACGGGGGGCGCGCGCGGATCCCCTGAGGCGACGCGAGGGCCGACGGGGGGCGCGCCATGCAGAAAACCGCCGCGCGCCACGGGGCACTCGGCGGGCAGAAAACCGCCGCGCGCCCCGAGCGCACGGCGGGATGAAAAACGCCGCGCGCTCCGGGCCCGGGGCGCGCGACAGCAGTAGAGCAGCGGAAGCAGTTAGGTGGTGGGCCCACCCACAGGATCGACCCAAGGGGGTCGACCTGCTTTGATAGCATGTCAGAACTAGCAGTCAGAAGCAAGAATGAAGAAAGGAGGGGTTTCACTAGCAAGCAGTTGGATACATATAGCAAACCCTAATTGGGCTGTACTCACTATGGAGTACCCCACTGCAGGCTAGACAATTATAACATTCTGACAGCTTGCTCATAGTCAGGCGATTTATGGGAGACAGGGGGCAGGCGTCTCGGTTCTTGGTAGACGGGTGGGGTCATTCCTTATTGGGAGGGGGATACGTGGGAATTGGGAGATGCTCGGGAAGACCGTCACGGGATCGGTACTCCACTTTATAATCTTCACCAACTGCAAATGTGTCCCACCAGCAGTCGTCCGGCCTTCCCCAAAAACAACAACCGCCGTCCTCGTCGCGCGCCGCATCTCCATCTTTACCGTCCACACAAGCCTTCGCGCCATCATCGTCAACCGCAGCCTTAGCCTACGCTCCAGCCACCGCGTAACACTTATAAGCCTTCGCAGGATCTGGCGCGAAAGAGGTCAGGAGGAGAAACGTCATGGTTGGAGCTCCATGGATAAACACAACAAGCGCTGGTGTCTCAAGAGGTGCGGGCGGAGCGGCTGGTGCAGGAGGTGAAGGTGGCGCAGGCGGGGCAAAAGGGCATGGGGGTATGGGAGCATTAGGTCAAAGCCATGAAATAAGCCCACCACCACCGCCTGAGGTTGACCGTCTGTTGGTCGCCCATGTTAAAATAACTGCGGGATCTTTGTTGGACATGATAAGTATGTTAGAAAGATGGGTTTTTAGTTGAGTCCGCACTGTTACTGAAACTATACGCCAAATGCGCAGCATTGTCGCTTTTGGCGCACTGTTACTGCCCAATTTTCTATCACGGCGCAGAGTTAGTGAGATTTCTACGCAGTAAAGTTTTCATTGGTGGAAATGTCGACGGACCGACGACTCCGCTTGGATTGACGGCCATCCAGTTGTTTCCACCTGCAATTTGGGCAAACAAAAATATACTACCCTTTCAGATGACGTGTTGTTTTGAGAGACATCAACCCTAAACACTGGGCGAGTGTTTAGTGTTGATGCCTTTGCGACGGGCTTTATATTTTTTTAAGGCTGCATCTAGGGAGGCATCAACCCTAAACACCATACGTATGGGTGTTTCGAGTTGATGCCCTCTCTATATGGGCTGAAAACAACGTTAAACACCAGACAGTATTACACTGTTTTCTCTTACACAGTGGGCCTGTCGTTTTCCGAAATGTTGACCAATGAACGTCGAACTACGTAGAAATCGCACTAACTCTGCGCTGTAATAAAAAAACGGGCACTAACCCTGCCCCAGAAGCGATGGAACTGCGCAATTGGCGTTTAGTTTCGAAAAGCGTGCTCCCTTAACTGAAAACCCTAGAAAGATTTATAAATACAGCAGAAGTCTTTACAAAAGTACATTGTTCATGGTGAGTATAAATGACACGATGATAATGAGGGCGTGTTGCAAGTGCGAAAACCGAAAGATCGCCGATCCGCTGTACCGAGCGTGACAGTAGATCCTCGGCTCGATGTGTGGGCCTCGATACGATCGATCGCAAAAACAACTTTTGGGATTTTGTACCATGATCGCCTATTTTCAGTGCAGTATTGTCGAGGTCATGATCGGTCGTGACTGTCAAAGCGATCCCACCAGCTGTTCCTGTCTTGCACACATCTGTACTGTAGCATGGTAACCACACTCTACAGTATTCCGCCACGTCAAGGATCGGTTTAGAGAGCGGATCAATCTCGTACTTGCAACACGCCTGATATAAAGTACATTGCATTATATTGTCCTAGCTAGCCATATACTCTGAGGGGTACATTTGTTAATAGGAATATAGGCATCACTACAGTTGCAATGACTATAGCAATCCCTACAATTACATCGCTGCAGCCCGTAATCTCCGAGACAGATGCGACTTGCGAAGCAGTTCACAACCTCTAGTCCAGGTCAACAGTCACGACAACTGTTTTGCGACAGTTGACCTGCGTGCTCTATATGAGCTAACTCAGTGGTACCGTAAGGAATTTTCTCGACATTCCTTATCGCGACCATCAACATCGCGCACAGCAGCAGCCGTTGTTCGCCCGTTACGGCTAACGGGGCTTCGCCAACCTCGCGGGCACTGTTTCACCAAACCTTGCATCGCTGGCCCAGCCGAGTCGGCCTACGCTTCGGGACTAGCCCGAACCTCCATGCCAGCGTAGCACTAGCTAGCTCGCACGCACCGCGTAACCGTTGCATGTTTCGCACATAAGTATTCGCTCATGCCTTCGCTCATACTTTGTACTCGTTGAACACTCTAGTACAATCCTCACTACCTCAATTCATTGCACCCATAACAGGTACATGTGCATCTTCGCTATGAAACCTTTCGATTATTTCAACAGCTTGAATGAATGAAGGAGCATATATGACTCTGAGTACAGACCCCTATCGAGATGGCGACCCGGGCTCCTCCACAAGGAATAAATATTTCTATGCAGATGAACATATATGAATCTTGCCATCATATCTTGCCGTTGGAAGATTCGAAGCCAATCGAGGGGTTAGGCATATTGGATCTGTCCTTCGTGCACGCTTCTCCAGTGCTTGATTGGATTGTCAGGCGACATTTCGCGCATGGATGCAACTCCAACACTGCACTGGCAGATTTGCGTGTTTTTTTCAATAGACTACCGCCTGAAAACAGTACAGTTGCAATTCATGTACCTCGGGCTACATTCTGATGCCTTTTAAACAAAGTTCGATAAGTGTCATTTGATTATTGCATGAGTCTAAAAAACAAGACTCGACGACAAGTGCATCTTGGATTTTTTTCCGACAAATTAGAAGCGCACCTGCTCTTCTACTCGGGAAAACACGACATGTGTTGCATACGAGTATGTGTAACATAAATTTGTTAGATGTCCACACATCAAATACTTCCAGGATTGAACAGTATAAAAATTTGAATGTGGATCTTACCACAGTATGTAAAAAGATAAAACCATTCAATTGTATATTCATATCAATTGCACAACTATTCCAGCCTATACAACGAACCCTTTCAATTCAAGACTTCATTGTTATTGTATTGCGGACCAAATACCCCAAAACTGGGCCTAATAAAATGGCAACATTGGGCCTAATAAAATGGCAACATTGTGGATGTAGAGCATATATGATTATGAAATTGGGTGTTTACACTTGTCAAGGCTGCATGTCGTGGTGTGTTTCTTTGCTAATCACACAAGGAGGTGTAACGTGTGAGGTTTTCCCTGGGAAACTGGGGTGTATGCGGATGATGAAATGGAGTTTAGTAGGGACGGACAGCTGTTGAGCATCATGTGTACAAAGCTGGGTCCGCCAACTACAGTTTCGCTGAGTGGAGTGGATTTCCCTCGGACTGGGAGTGAAACTGAATTTTCTGATGGTATCTGCCAGCGCAATGAAGCCTCTAGTTGACGTGCATTCATCGTGGCTACACATATGTTGTGGTTCTTACGCGATGAGCGTTTCGGAAGAGGTGAAGCTTGTGGTTGGAGTTGAGAGTGACGGGTGGCAGCCACGCCGCCTCCTCGTCGGGTAATCCAGTGAATGCGCCCCCAGCCATTGGTGTAAAAGTGTTTGTGCGCGTCTTAGGTTAATTATTGTCTGCCCAAGACTGTGCATTGTACAGAATTGTACAGACCTCCACAACAAGGGCCTTCAACAAACTGCACGTGGAGGAGCCTCGTGGCGAGCCCATTCCCAGGGTGTAGGTGTGCTTCGCACAACATGTCGGCCAGAGTTCGCCCACATGCGTCATGACTTGTGACCTGCACACACTTCACTGCAGCAGTTGAGGCAAGCAGCCAAAGAATCCCACCACCGTGCGAGTGGTTCTGATTCCAGCAGCTGCCCTGCCCAGCCGAAAGTCAGATGTCCTTCACCGTTTCGGCTGACTCCCTTGTCCGTGCGAAACAGATCCATCACCGAGTTGCTTCCGTCTGCTGGCGGTGCTTTCTTGGTGCACGAGGGAGGTTAGTTGAAACCAGCCCACAATGAGCTAGCTCCAACGAGTTTTAGTAGTTGCAGCCGTCCAGTGTCTACGTACAGATGTTATGTACGCGCATGATAGTTACACGTATGCGTCTCTATCTTTGACGTTCGGTATTGGTCGTTATTGGATATTGAGAGATTCGCAATAGGATTGCAATCTTGCCCTCCCCCTCGACCTTTTTATACAATCGTCCTATCCAACCGTTAATCGCCATTCAAAACGCTTTCAGTGCCAAAGAGTCGCAAAGGTATTCATCGCGCAGCAATGCGAGGCGACGATCAGCTGTCGCATTGGTTGGTGGAAGTCGTGAGACCCGGAGGAGCGTCCGCTTCGAGCGGCAAGAGCGGGCGCGGGGGAGCGAGAGGCGGTATTAGGGATGGCGCGGGCGAGGCGGCGGGACTCGCGGTGGCAGTAGAGGAGGCGAAGAACGAGCGGTCGGGTCGCGTTCTCCTCATTCTCGTGCACGTGGTCGCGGGCTGCGACACGCGAGGTGAGCGCGGCGCGGGTGTGGAACTGGGCGGACGAATGAGAAGCGGCAGCGGCGGGTGGGGTATACATTTAAGATGGAGAGAGCGAGAGAGCTGGATAGAGAGAGAGTGAGGACCATTAGAGAGGGAGAGCGGGATAGTGAGAGCACAGCCGGTGTGTCCCGTAATCCGCGACGAGGCATGCTTTCCTCGTGCTGACCCTTCTGTCCGCTGCTCTCCGCTCTTCCAGGTCCCTCGTCCCACGGCGCGGAGTCACCGAGGGTGGCAGCAGGGCAGGCGCAAGAGCAGGCGGCGGTGGAGGCGGAGGCGGAGGCGGAGACGGAGGAGGCGCTCAAGTGGGCGTTGCTCAAGCCGCTGCAAGTCGCCGTGCAGCAGCACCAGGTACGCGCACTTTCGCAGCCCGGCGGTCCTAGGTTTTACCGCTGCCGCCCCTCCACGTGGCGTGCAGTCACCTACTCTCGAGTTCCTCGCGCACGCCGCGGTCAATCGCATCGCCGCTGTTCCCGCTCCGCTGATGCGCTCTCACCCCTTCTCACTTTCGCCTCAACATCTCCCATCCCCTTCTGTTCCCCCTCTTATCCCGTTTCCCTCCCCTCCCCCTCCCGTTCCCCCTTCCCCCCTCCCCCCCCCCGTGTTTCGCGCACCCGTTGCGCTCTCGTCCTGGGTGCGGCGCGTATCGGTGGCGACGCGGCAGCTGAGGGCGGTGATGCACGTGGAGGCCAGTCTCTCCAGGGAGCGCGGCCTCGCTGACGTGGCGCATCGCTTCCATGCGACGCGGCTTTACATCGGCCTGGTCAAGAGGTAACCCGCCTTTTCCCCACCCCCCTCTTCCGAATCGCCCTTCCGCGTGGTCGCCGTTTCATTCGATTCCCGGATCTGTTATTGCCTTGCCTCCCCGCTTCCACCCACTCAACTCCCTTCCCGCTTCTTTCCACCCAACGCCTTCCCCCTGCTGCTCTTTCCCCTCTCCGCGCTCGTTTCTCTCCCTCCCCCACGCCCCTTCCGCCCATCAGGTCGGTGCTCTGGTCGCGCCTCTCCGCGCTTTCCCTCGCGCCCCACTCCGCGCACCACCAATCTCGCCCCACGCTCCTCTCCGCCCTCCCCCCCGCCTGCCTGCTCATCGAAGCGCGGGGCACCCGCCGCCTCTCCACGCACTCTCACCCCCTGTCCGCCTCCGCCACCCCACCTGCCCTCCCCGAGTCGCTCTCGCTGCGCCAAGGCGGCCGCTCCGCGCGCTCCTTGCGAACCGCGGGGTCGTTTCTGGACGGCGCGCGGCGCATGGTGGGGCGGCGGTCGGACGCTGAGGAGGGGGGGCGAGGGGGGGAGTACGGGGGAAAGAAGAGAAAGGCGAAGAGCGGGGTTTTGGAAGCGCGGGGTACAGTGGGGTGGGAGGGGGAAGAAGAGGGGGAGGGGGAGGGGCAAGTGCGAGCGCGGCAGGGGCAATCGCTGGGGAAGGCGTGGAGCGGGGCGTGGTCGGGGGCGTGGCAGCAGGGCAGGGGGGCGGCGAGCGGGACATTGGAGGCGCAGCAGGGGGGCATGGGGGCAGCGCGCGGTGGTAGTGTGACGTCATCATCACGGGTAGCAGTAGTGCGAAGCTTGTCCGTGGGGGAGGGCGCGGACGATGCGCATTGTGCGCCGCACCATGGGCGCACTGCCGCACTCACGCATGCTCACTCTCATGCTGATGGGGGTAACGGCGGTGGTGCTGTTGCTGCTGCAGCTGCTGCGGGTGGTGGTAGCAGGCAGAGGGAGCGAGGTAGCACACCACAGCAGCAGCAGCAGCAGCACCAGCATGCACACCCCTCATGGCTCCAGGAACGGCGCGGCAGCGGCTCCTTCATGCCTACGTGGAGCTTTGGCCGCAGGACACGTGGCAGCGGCCCGTTGGTTGCTGTTGAGAGAGGCGAAGGCGAGCGCATGGGTCCTGAGAACAGGCCTCGGTCAGGAGTGGTGAGGGCAGTGGGGGTAGACGGAGGGGAGAGCGCAGGGGAGTGGGAGAGGGAGTGCGAGAGTGAGCGTGAGGGTGAGGGTGAGAGGGATCGGAAAGTGGAGGGGAGGGTTGGGAGTGGGAGTGGGAAGGGTGCAAGGCGGTACAGCCGGCGGTGGAGGCAGGGGCGGCTCATGACCCAGTCAGGGCCCCTGGGCCCGCACTCCCCCTCCCTCGCCTCCCCCTGCGCGCCCGCCTCTGCACCGGCACCGCCCGCTCTCGCTGCTGCTCCCCCTCACGGCAGCATGGCAGCAGCAGCAGCAGCGCAGCCAGGCGGGCCCGCGGACGCCGCCGCGGCGCGTGCAGAGGAGGGCGCGTGCAGTGGTGGCGGGCGGGAGCGGTTTCACAGGTCCGAGAGCATTACGGAGGGCGGAGAGGGGGAGGAGGGAGAGGCGACAGAGGGGGCCAGAGGCACGGAGGAGTGTGTATCCGTCAAGGGGGAGGCGGCGAGGCAGCAGGTGGAGGAGCGGGCATGCGGCAAGGCGGGCAATGGGTTGCGCAGGGAGGTGCAGTCGCGCCTGCTGCATGCAGACGTGCACTCCGCTGCGCCCACCCCGCCCCCCTGGCCCATGGGCCTCTTCCGCTCCTCCTCCGTGCCCGGCCCCTCGTCCGTCACCCGCGCCTCCCCATCGCCCCTCGCCTCGTCCTCCCCCTTCTCCTCGTCGTCGTCCTCTGCGCGTCGCCCCCCCACGCTGCTGTTCGCCAGAGCGTCGTCTGTGCCTGGCTCCACTCGCCGCGTCTCCTCCCGCCGCCACGCGCGTGCCACGGGTGGGCACGGTGGACAGGGCGGCAGGCGGCGGCACAGCGAGGGGAGGAGCAGGCGTGGCGCTGGCAGCTCCGGAGCAGGGCACGGGGTGGTATTGGCAGCTGGGGAGAGGGGCGCAGGGGGGGCGGACGCAGGGAGACGAGAAGAGGAGGAGGCGGGCATGGAAGGCGAGGGAGTGAGCGAGGGTCCGGATCACGCTGCGTCTGCGGCCTTCCCCCACTCGCTGTCCTCCTCCTCCTCGTCGTCCTCATCCGCGCGCCTGCTCTCTCTCTTCCGCGCCAGCTGCACCCTCTCCGCCACTCCCACCTCCCCCGCCTCGCCGGCCGACACCGCATCCCCCGCCATGCCGCCCAGGAGCGACGGGCGGGGCGGCAGGGGCGGCAGGGCGTACGAGGTGGTGCCGGTGGATTGGCTGCAGGAGGTGGAGGCGCGGAGGGCGCGCATGAGCGGGGCAAGTGGGGGAGGCTGTGAGAGGGATGCGGGGGAGGGTGGTGGGCGCGGCAGCCTGGACAGCCAGGTGCGGAGGGCAGTGGGCGCTGTCACGGGTGCGCATGGCTCACGCAGTGCCCGATCCAGTGGGGCCGGTGACGCCACCCACCCTGCTACCAGGCCCACAGGGCCTTCTCGCAAGTCTGCGTGCGAGCCGCTGTGCACCACCGCATGTGCACCCGCCTACTGCGATCAGATCAGCCCTCTATGCGTCTCCACTGCCTCTCTCACGCCCACCACTCCCGCCACTGCCACCACCGCCACTGCGCCCATCTCGGTGCCCTCCACCGACTCTGCACCTTCCAGTGCTTGCTCTTTCTCCCCCCACACCCCTCCTGCCGTTGCCCCTGCCGTGTGTCCTTTTCCCAACCATGCTGCCGCCACATGGAGCTGCTCCCACGCGCCTCACCCAGAGCCCCACCCCGCTACGCCGTGTGACCATGCGTGCTCTGCACTGCAGCATGGGCAGCCCTCTTCAGCGGTGCACGAGGGGGGCGCAACAGAGGCGCCCATTGCAGCGGTACCCGTGGGCGTGCAGCACCACGTGCATCCACCGCACCTCACCATCCTCACACCGCACAGCGCCTGCAGCGCCACCACCACACCCACCCCCTCTCACACCACCCCCGCGCCGCCCGCCACCACCACGCCTGCCAGCATGCACCAGTGGCGGCGGCGGCGGCGGCGCGAGTGGCGGGGGCGGGACGACAGCGACAGCGTGCGGCGCATGAACGCGTCCCTGGCGTACCTGTCGGTGCAGCACAGCCACCTGGTGCACCTGGGCGCCGCTGATGACGACGACGACGGGCTGGACGTGGATGAGATGGTCGTGGGCGCTCGCCTGGATGCTGCGGGCGAGGGCGCCCTGCTCATGGGCGCACACATGGCCGCTGCTGTGGATGGCATGGCGTGGCACGGCCACTGGGGGGACGTGGATGAAGTGGAGAGGGGGGAGTTTGGTGGGGAGTGCAGTGAGGGATGGCAGGAGGAGGAGATGGGGTGGGTGGAGTGCAGCTATTCCGGGCCTCTCACTCATGCTGCCCTTGCTGCTGCTGGGGTGATCACGAGCACAGCAGCAGCGTCGCCATCAGGCGCCCCCTCCTCATTCCACAGCATTCCCAACAGGGCAGCACCACCCCCATCCGTCTCCTCCCATGCCAGCACCCCTGCAGCAATGAGCCCAGCCTGCCTCTCCCCTCGCGCGCACCCCTCTGCCCACAGCCCCTGCCGCAGCAGCCCCCACGGCTCCCCTTCTGCCACCGTGCCGCGAGTGCCCTGCTCCCTCTCCCACGGCCCGTGCGACAGCAGTGCAGGCAGCGGGGCGGGGGAGGGGCGGCGGCGGTCCATGCTGGGAATGAGCCGCAGCATGGGCGTGGCCACGCTCGCACACGCCCTCTCCTCCCTCACCCACGCCGCTGCTGTGTCCTCGGGGTCTGTCTCAGGCTCCCCTGCTGCCGCCCGGCCTGCCTCACGCCTAATGCTGTCGTCAGGGCCCACACCCGACGCACAGCACACCTACAGTAACGGCAGCACGTCGCTGGGTAGTGGCACAGGCACAGGCACGGGCAGGGGCAGGGGCGTGGGAGCAGAGGTGGAGGACGTGGAGGGCGATATGGAGGGCGACATGGGGCTGGACATTGACATTCTTCTCTCCGACCTGCGCTCCCGCCAGCTGCGCTCCGCCTCGGGGCCCCTGGCGCCTCGCATGTCGGGCCCCCTGCGCTCCGTCACCCATCCTGCCGCTGGTATGGCTGTTGCAGCTGCTGCGGCCGTGGCAAGTGTGGGGGAGAGAGGTGGGGAGGACAGGAGTGCACAGCTGTGTGATGTGGGGGTGGATGCATGGCGGGGTGCAGCCGAGGCAGACTCAGGAGACCACTCCCTAGCTGCATGTTCATAAGCAGCATGTGAAGTGCGCACGAGCAAATGGGATGGGAGGATTTTCTTATAAATTTGTGGGAGGTAGTTTGACGTGGAATGGTGTCACGCCTTGGAATTTGTTTAGGTGTGTATATGAACTTAGCAGCCAAGGACGTGTTTCTATGAGGCACATGAAATCCGAACTTGGAACAATCTTTGCGCATTGTTATAATGTACTGTCTGTACTTATGAGACTGTATATCCAACTTGGGGGATGACTATGATATTTGCATAGCGCGGACATTACTGGAAATTGCGTGGCAGAGCAGATTGGCGCGAAGCCCTCGATATTCCGGCGCAGATCCCAAAGGCTGCAGCAGCCTTGCAGCCACCCAAACCACACTTCGCACAGCCACAACTGCTGCAAGAATTTCTATCGGCCATCAGTCTCGCCACGTCGCAAGCAGCAGCAGCGTCGTGAGCCACGGCTATGGAGCTGCAGGGATCCCATGCCCCATCCGTTTCTCCGCGTCCCGCGCAACCAATGCCGCTAGCGATCGACCACGCCACGCGCGCGGCGGCGGCGTCGTTCCTCCGCGACGAATTCCCCAAGGTGCGCCTCTCGATCCGCGTGGCTCGTCGCAACTCCCAGATCTGCTTACCGTGCGGAGCGCACGGCTGTGGCGGCGAGCGCGATGAAGCCGAAGGTGGTCGTCGAGGGCACCACGAGCTGTGCGTCGCCGCTCGCCTGGGATGGCGCTGCCGCTTGCTCGCCGCTGCTGCCTGCCCGTTCTCGCTGCAATTGCGACGAGGCTCGTTACGGTCGCAATCAGTGCGTCGATAGTGCCGTGCATGAGCGCGCGCGACGCATGCGTCCTGCTTGACAGTCTAAGGACCGCCACCGTCAACGGCGACTTCGAGGTTACAGTCCCATGCGCTCCCCTCACTCCTTCCCTTCCCCCCTTCCCCCCCAGGTGCTGGCGACGGCAGCGGAGCTGGCGGCAGTGGAGGACCCCGAGACCGAGTGAGTGCGGGGGCAGGGGGGCCAAGGGGCCCAGGGGCCCAGGGGGGCCAGAGAGGCGAGGCGAGTGGGGAGAGCGACCTCTGCAAGGCCGGGGGGCACGGTGTGGGATGCGAGAGTGCTACTCGCAGCAGGGTGCTCGCGCAGCCATGCCTGCACGGCACGCACACGTCTCTTCCCCCCCCCCTCCACCCCCACCGTCCTTGCATGCATGGGTTGTGCTCTTCGCTGCTCGCCATGCCCTCGCGTGCTCACGCAGCGCCCCCTCGGTTCGCCACGCGCGTTCACACCTCTGCGCGTGTGTTTTTTCCCATCCCCCTGTCGCTCCGCCCTGCTACTTGTCTCGTCCGCGCAGGCCCTACCGATCCAAGTATGCGGCCGCTGCTGCTCTGGTGCGTCTCTGCCTCACCCCGCCCTGTTCATCCATGCTCTCCTGCTCCGCGCCTTTCGTCTCCTCTCTCCTGCTCTTTCTCTTGCATCCCCCGCACCTCCTCTGCTCTCTTCATTCACCTCCTTCTGAAGCTTATTGTCTGCTCCACCTCGCACGTGTCTTCGGTGCATTAGCCTTGCCGCGGTCTCTGCACTACCCCTGGCCTCCACGTGCAGGATGCATCGCGAGGCAAGGCGGAGATGCTGCTACGGCACTTCCAGCCTGCTGCCGCGCACCACTCCACTGCTGCCGACGCTGCCGATGCTGCACGTGAGGACGCGGTGAGTGTGGGCCTGGATATTCAGTGGTCTTACCAGGGTGGATCCCACCCTGCAAAGGGACAAAGCTGGGGAGGCGACAGTCCTTGGGGTGGTGATTCTGTGCGTGGATGCTTGCTTCCCCACGCCACTGCCGGCCTGCCTTGAACTTGTACCAGCATTTCTTCCTCCATATCAGACACTGCCATGACTCAGCACATGTACGTGCGTGGATGCCATGTGAATGCGTGTGTGTGCCTGTGCATGTGTGCGTGTGCGTGTGCATGTGTGTGTGCATGCGAGCAGGCGATGGCAGGCGAGTTGTTGGACGCGGTGGCAGTGCTGGAGTACAAGAGTGGCGCCATCGCCGCTGACGTGGACGAGGTCACGCGCGCCAAGGGCCTGCTCATGACCGCCCATGCACGGCTCCAGCTCAACGAGCCCAAGCACCTGCGCCCCCTCATTGTATGCCCGCACATGCACGCACGCACACAATTCGCACACGCATGCATGCACCTGGGCAGCTCACACCCTGCCCAGAAAAACCTTGCTCCCACCCCATATCCCCTCTAGATCCTTTCTCATTTCTCTCGCACTCGTGCTCCAACTTTCCCCTCTCTCCACGATCCCTGTCCACGCCATTGCCACATGGCCATGCCCACAGGACGTGTGCAACCTGCTGGGGCTGCTCGCCAGCAACGATGAGGACCACAAGGCGTCCCTCGCATTCCTTGTCAGAGCACATAAATAGTACGACCCCTCCACTCTCACTTCCTCTGAAATTGCACTCTCACCTGCTCTCCTTTCACTTGTTCCTTGTGGTTCCGCGTCCTCTGCTCTGCGTGTGAGCCATCATGCTCTGTCCAGAGTCTCATGCTTTCCTCCCCGCCCCCTCTCCTTGTCGTGCCTCTCCCATGTGCCATGGCCCAGCTATCATCACTACCTCAACATGCAGTCGCAGGCAGCAGGGGCGGCAGCAGCAGCAGACGCAATGGAGGAGGGGGGCGGGAGTGAGCCAAGGGGGGAGGAGGAGGCGAGGGAGGTGGAGTCCCTGCACACCATCACCACGTTCTACCTCGCTCAGAGTACGCCGCACCGCACAGCACCACATGGCACCCACCTTTGTGTCTCACAACATCGTCTCTTCTGCTCTCTGCAGCCTGTGCCCTTGCTATTTGGGTGTGCTCCCAGCGTAGCACCACTCTCACTACTGCCTGCTCAACCAACACCCCTTCCATCTCCCACTCCCCCTCCACCCCCCGGAATCCATCTGTCCCGCCCTGTGCTGCGCCCCGGGGCGAGCAGCGCTGGCGGCCATGGGCAAGAAGCAGCGCGCGGCGTCCTTCTGTGCCGCCACGCTCACGCGCCAGCTGCGCCTGAGGCAGCAGTTCCGAGCGTGGGACTGGGCGCAGAACTGCGCGCAGCTGGCGGGGTACTACCTGGGCCGCGACCACTTCAGCACGGCACTGCACTGCCTCGCCGCTGCTGCCACCGTGCTCGCCCGCCACACGGCAGGGCAGCCCGTGCTGCCGGGAGGGAATGGGGGGGACGTGGGGGGCGGAGGGGGAGAGGCAAGCGGGGGCGAGGAGGAGCAGGTGCGGGAGGTGGCGGCGAACATCAACATCGGCATCGGCAAAGTGTGAGCTGCTCTCAGCCCCGCTCGACTCTTTCACGTGCTCTCGTGCCTTGCTGCTCACTCGCATTTGTTTCAACGCCGTACCCATGCGTCCCTCATCCTCCTCGCCTGTGCACGCTCTCCACCCGCATCCTTGTGCCCTCTATCCTTGCGCCCTCTATCATGCCCTGCCCATCCGTGCACGCCACTACATGCGCCTGCTTTCCTCCCACACTTGTCCGCGCCTCCCACCCCCCCACGCGTCCCCAGGCACCTGCGAGTGCTGCAGCGGTCAGTGGAGCTGGACGCAGCCCAGCCTGACGCCTCCCCTGCTGCCCCCGCCACCGCCACCGCCACGCCCACGCCCACCCCCGCCGCTGCCACCGCCACCAGCAGTGCCAGTGCAGCCACAGGCAGCGATGCCCCTGCTGGCCCTGCCCCCTCGGGCGCTGGTGCGGCAGCGGGGGGCATGGACGTGGACGGGGGGGGGCGGGAGGGGCAGCAGGAGGGCGATGTGGACATGGGGGAGGGTGTGGAGGAGCGCGAAGGCGAGGGCGGAGAGCGGTGGGCGGGCGAGGGCGACGTGGACATCGCCCTGGGACCTGACTTCTCCCTGCTGGGACTGGACCCGAAAGCTGACACATGCGCTCGCATGCTGGCGGATGGGGGGGAAGCAGGGGGGCAGAAGGGGGTGGAGGGCGAGGGGGATGTGGTGCGGGAGTATGCGCACGCAGTGATCCACTTCAACAAGGCCATGACCGCCTTCAAGACCGCGCTTGAGGTGTGCTGGGAGAGAGACACTGTTTATTTGTCTTCCCAGCTGATGCTTCTTTAGCCTTTCTGCCCTTCTCTGCTCTCTTATCTCTGGCTCTCTCCTGCGTGCTGCCCCTTGCCACGTGTGCCCTGCCCTGCCCTGCCGTGCCCTGCCGTGCCCTGCCGTGCACCAGGTGTACACGAGCACAGAGCGCTTCTCAGACCACTTTGACATCGCCATGGACATCAGCACGCTGCACCGGGTACCCTCCTGCCACCACCCTGCACCGCACTGCACCGCGCAACACCCCGGCCCGCCCTTTTCCATCTCTCTTGCCTCTGCTTCCTTCCCTTTTTTCTCCAAATTGCCTGCTTCAAATCCCCTTTCTGTATCCCTCCCCTCGCATAGCCAACGCCCTTCGCTTCCCCTCATTTTCCTCCTGTTCTGCCTATCCCTCTTTGCGCCCACTGCCCTGCCCTGCCCGGCCCTGCCGTGCCCCTCCCCCCCAGTACCTGGCGTACTTTGAGCCCAGTGCGCACAGGGCAGCGCTCATCCACCAGCGCCGCGCCACGCGCCTGCTGCCCCTTGCCGCCGCCATCAACCCCTCCGTCTACCCCGCCCAGGCCGCTCAGGTGCTGTGCTGTGCTGTGCTGTGCTGTGCTGTGCTGTGCTGTGCTGTGCTGTGCTGTGCTGTGCTGTGCTGTGCTGCCGCCTGCACTCCGGGGGACAGGCGGACAGGGCAGGGGTGGTGGGGTGAGGTGGTGGTGGAGTGGAAGGGTAACACGGGGCGCTGTGGCGGAGGTGGGAGAGGGGTGTCAGGGAGCTGCTTGTCTGGCAAGCAATGCTGCTCTTGCACTGCCTCGCCCTTGTCGGATGCCCAACTCATACCCTCCTCTGTCCTCTCTCTCACCCTCTCCTCTCGTCTCTACCTTCTCCTTTCCCTCCTCTCTCCCTTCAACCCTCTCTCCTCTCCTCTGCTCTCCCTTCTTCTGTATCCTATCTCTCTCCTCTCTCCTTTTCCACATTGCTGCTGCTCGCGTCCCTTCTCCTATCACACCCCCCCATGCCCCTCCCCCTGTTCCCCCCTCACTGTGCCCCCTTCATAACATAACCCCTTCCCCCTCCCCCCCGGCAGTGCGTGCACGAGGTGGCGTCCATCGCACTCAACGCCATGGAGCTGGAGGCGGATGCAGCACGGCCCGCGCCCAAGATCATCGACCCGGCCAAGCAGGCAAGTACCCTGTCCGGGGACCACAGGGGGGCAAGGACTCATGCCTTTTCTTTGTGTGGTGTGGGCATGCAAAAGCAGAGGGTAGCATTTGCGTGGCCAGCTTATCCTTCTGGATTAAGGATGCTGTTTGTTTTTTCTTCCCTCCAAACCCCCCTTCCTGCCCTCTTCCTTCCTTCTCTCCCTCACTGTGTCTGTCGTCGTCCCCCTATCCGCCCGTCCACCCACAGGCGATTCAGTACTTTGAGCGCTTCATCACTCTCATGCAATCCTCCAAGTCAGTGCCGCTGCGCTCCCTCCCCCGATCCACCATTCTCGCTCCTGCCGTGCTGCATGCAAGTGTCTGCCTCACGTGCCCTGAGCTGCTCGCATCTCTGCGTTTATGTGCCTGTGCTGCATCCCGCTCTGCATTCCACCGTGCACGTTCCCTGTCACCTGATTCTGACGCCCTCTTTCCGCCCCATCCCGTGCATGCCGCCTTGCAGCCCCCAGGGGTCAGACGATGTGCGCTTTGTGTACGCGCACTTCCACATCGCGCGCACGCACTACCGCATCTGCACTCTGCTGCCGCCCCAAGGTCCGCCCCTTGCTCCATATACCCCCCCTCCTCGCCTCCATCCCGCTCCACTGCTCGCCTGCCCTCCGCGGGTGCCTTGTTTGGCGCAGCACCGTATTTCTGCCAGTGCGGTTGTGCCCATGCCGGCGTGCCCTCCTGCCTCACCATCCTTATTGCTCACCGTGCACGCATGTCCTCGCCAATACATGTTGTGATGCTCATGCTGTGTCATTCCAACCATCCTGCTTTCCCATGCACTCATGCCATTCCCACCCATGTGCGTCCCCATGTGGCCATGGCGGTGTGTGCGTCCCCATGTGGCCATGGCGGTGTGTGCGTCCCCATGTGGCCATGGCGGTGTGTGCGGCAACAGACGGCAAGGATCATCTGCAGCACAGCCTCAACTACTTCAGGTCAGCTTCACCCCGTGCGCCTCTGCAGTGCACACACTGGGGACCATTGCCCCTGCATTGCCCATTCTGCTTTGCACAGATCATCGAACATGCACATCCTGCTTTGCACTCTCCTCTCTCATTCTTTATCTCTCCTCTCTCATTCTTTCGCCCTCCTCTCTCATTCTTTCGCCCTCTTCTCTCATTCTTTCTCTCTCCCCCGCACCTGACATTTTCGCTGCACGTCCCCCTGCCCCCGGTCACCCATGTATGTGTGTGCGACCAAGCAGCAAGTTCTTGGAGCAGGCAGCGCGAGTGGGCGTGCAGGAGCAGCTGCAGGCGGAGGTGGCGGTGGCCAAGGAGATGGTGCAGCTGCTGCCCACCAAGCTCGCCGCTGACCTCTCACGCCTCTCCATCTCTTGACAACGCAACTCCCCTCACTTCACCTGCAAACTCTCCTCCGCTCCCCCTCCGCTGCATCCTTGCTGCACATGCTTGTGCATTTAATTGAGTATTACTTGTTATACATTCTAGGACCGTATGTACCTTGTTTTCCCACTTTTGGAAAATTATATAGGATGGTTCAATGAGCGAGCTGTGATGTTCCTGTGTAAATGTCTTATAGTGGTGTTTTTTTGTGAGCTTAAAACCTCTTAAGATTTTAGCTGTATCCCGCCAGCGTGTATCGCGGATATTAGCAACCCTAAACCTTGCGTCAGCCTCCACCCTCAGTGCTGGGCCTCTGCTGGATCTGAGGCTCTCGAAAATATCTAGGCCCATTCTGCACTTTCTCCGCGATCCACGATGCTCCATCCAACAATCCCGCCCCACCTCCTCGCCTGTCAAGCGTGTTTCATCGTCGCCCTCGCGGTCCTTCCTCTCGTTTCCGTCCCATCGCTCTCCTCCCATTCCCCGCCATCGCCTCGGCGCCGCTTTCGTCCCGCGTCCAGTGCTCTCCGCTCTTCCCAGCAGCCCCGTTCTGCGCACCCCACAGCTCTCCGCTTTCCGCCACTCGCCTCTACTAGCCCCGCGTGCTCATTCCCCGCGCTCTTTTCCGCGTCGTTCGCCTCCGCTCCCAGGCATGACTGTCGCCGCCCTCTGCCCCTGTTGCGCTGCCGCGGCAGTCGAGGCCACAAGCATTCGTACGAGCGGAAGCGGGCAGAGCCGGAGGCGGGCGGCGGTGCGCGTGCAGTCAGCGCGGGAAGCAACCCCCGACGGTCCGCTCTTCCGCGCGCCCGCTCAGGTGACCTGTGCGCCCGCTGCTTACGCGGAGCCTGCCAGCTGCTGGCGGCTGGTGCATGCCCGCCATCGGCGGATCCGCTATCACCACTTCCGTTCCGCTTGCTTGCTCCGAAGTACCCCCTTCCGCCCACCTCAGTGGGCCCCTCGCCTCCCTCCCCTCTCCCCTTGCTGTCCCCCCATCATGGTATCCCCGGCAGAAGAGCCGCCTCCCCCCCGTGAACTCGCCGGGGGCGGGGGAGCGCCAGTTGCGCGCACTGGCGGAAGGGACGCGGCAGGGGGGTTTGGGGAGATTCGGCAGGCGGAGAGATGGGGGGGGGCGGGAGGTTTCCGCAGATGACTACGCGGCAGTGGAGGCGTGGTGGTGGGGGGAGAGAAGCGCCAACGCGGAGCACACACGCGGAGAACCATGGGCGGAAGAGGGGCGGGAGGACGGGGGGAGAAGGCGGAAGGAAGCCAGGGAGGGGGAGCAGCGGACGAGGGAAGGGGATGAGACTGAGGGTAGTCAAAAGAGAGAAGCTGAAAGGGGGAGGTTGAAATTACGAGTGGGCGAATGCTCGGGGGCAGTGAAGGGCGATGGGTGGGGGGAGGAGGGGGCGCAGGGGCCGTTAAGAGAGGGGGGAATGCGCGGAACTCAGGCGCCTGTGGCACGGCGAAAGGATCGCACCAGCAGGCAGAAAAGCTTCCATCGCGTTGACCCTGATGCTGACGTGGCACGGCGACGAAGGGGATCTGCGCCCGCCAGGGAGCCGTTTGTAGGGAGCAGCGTGCGCAATGGGCGGGTGGCGCGAACTTTGCGCGCAAATAGCTTCGAAGCGCGGGGGAGTGGGTGGGGGGAAGAAGGCGCTGCGCTGGGCGCGGCGCAGGGCATGGTGGCGGAAGCGAGGGCGGAAGGGCGGTCGCCGGAGACTTCACCAGAGGGGTTTTGGGACAGTGGGGATGAGGGGGCGGGGGAGTATGAGAGGAGGGGGAGTGTGCGCGCACGGGAAGGCGGCGATTGTGGCAGCGCGGGCCCTAGCCGGGGGGCAGGAGAGAGGGGGGTGGGTACGGGCGCAGGCGGCGGGGTAGCTGGTGAAGGGGACGCACGCAATGGCCCCGCCTTGCGCCCCATGCAGCCCAGGCGCCAACAGCGGCAGGGGCGGGCAGCGCCACCGCCCCACCGGCGCGCCACGCGCAGGCTGCAACCAGGGGAGGTGCGGTCGCTGGCGCGGCAGCTGCACTCCTCCGCGCGATGTGTTGCTGACGTGGACGCCATGCTGGCTGCGGCTCTGGGCGAGGGGGGGGAGGGACTGGGGGGAGGCGCAGAGGCAGAGGGGCGCGGGGAGGGCGGGGCGAGACCAGCAGCAGGACGCGGGGAGAGGGAGGGCGGGGGGAAGGGGGGAGGGGGCGTGTGGGTGCGCAGTGGGGTGGTGGTGGCGGTGATGCAGGCGCTGGCGGACTTGCACTCGTGGCGCGCTGCCCTGCTGGTACGCTGTAGGCGGGGGCGATGTGTGTTATGGCCAATAAGAGAGGCACTCTTGCATGCACGAGGAACACAACGCTCACCCTCCCTTCTTCGCCTCCTCTCTTCCCCGTGCGTGCATGTTCCCCCGCCCCGCGCAGCTATGGCAGTGCTGGCGCGGGTCCCCAGCGTACCAGCGCAGTCCGCACGTGCTGTGCGCGCTGCTCGCCCTGCTCGCGCGCTGCAACCGCCTGCGCCACGCCCTCGCCGTGTTCCGCGCCGTGCAGCACGAGGAGAGCACACAGGGCGAGGGGGAGGGGGAGGGGGAGGGGGAGAGCGAGGGGGAGGGGGAGTGTGGAGGCGGGGATGTAGGGAATGACAAGGCGGGGGTGGGTGTGCGGGAGCAGGCGCAGGGCAGAGGCGGCAGCAGCATGGACACAGCGGTGTACAACGCGGTGATATGTGCGTGTGGCAGGGCGGGCAGGCCCGACACGGCAGTGGCGCTGCTCACCGAGATGGTGGAGCGCTGCACCCCTGCCACCCCTGCCACCCCTGCTAGCCCTGCTAGCGCCGCTCACAGCAGCAGCAGCAGCAGCAGCAGCAGCAGCAGCAGCAGGATGGGACTATCCCCGCAGCCCACTGCGAGCCCTAGCCCTGCACTCTCCCACTCGCCCCCTGTGCCGCACACCACCTCGCAAGACAGCACCTGGCGTGGCAGCACGGGCCGGAGTGGGCAGGGCGGGAGTGCCAGCAAGGGGACCCCGAGGCGCGGGTTCTGGCCGAGCCAGGCGACGTTTGGTGCGGTGATGCACGCGCTGTGCAAGGCGGGGCGCGTGGGGCAAGCGGAGGCGCTGCTGCCCGTGATGGCGCGCGTGCACGTGCGCCCCAACGCCATCATCTTCAACACCCTGCTCTCCGCCGCCGCTGCTGCCCTCACCCCGCCCGCTGCCGCTGCTGATGTCTCTACTTCCCTTGATCCTGCCCTTGACATAGACCAATGGGGGAGCATTGGCAGCAGCAGCAGTGGGGGGGCGCGGGGCAGTGATGCGGTGGGGCGAGTGCAGCGGGTGCTGGCAGCGATGCGAGCAGCGGGTGTGGCGCCTACAGCTGCGACGGTGACGGCTGTCATGGCTACCCATGCCGCCAGGGGCGATGATGAGGCTGTGCTGCACCTGTGGGACGCTGTCACCAGGGGGGGGTGGGAACAGGGGTGTGGGGCAGGGGGGGCTGGGGAAGGGGGAGGCGCGGAAGCAGCGAGCAAGGAGGGGAGCGGGGAGGGCGGAGAAGGGATGCAGGACGGATGGTGTGTGAGTGCAGCAGACGCCCCTGCGGCAGGGGACGCATCGGCAGAAGCAGCATGTGAACCCGATGCAGCACCAGCAGAGCAGGCGCGGTGCATGGTGGGTGGGAGGCATGCGGCGGTGGTGCCAGATGCGCCGATGGTAACGCTTGTGCTGGGCGCCATGGCTCGCCTGCGCCTCGTTCCCGCCGCCGAAGCCCTCTGGGCGCTTGCTGAGGCTTCCCAGCCGCGTGTGGTGCACAACACAGGTGGTGCTGGGGGGGATGCAGGGGAGGGGCGGCAGGGAGGAGAGCGGAGTGCAGAGGAGGGAGGGGTTGGGGAGGTGGAAGGGTATGTGTGGCGGAGCAAGAGGGAAGGCAGGCGAGCAAGGTGGGATGGTGGAGTTGCGAGGCGGGAGGGTGGTGACAGAAGGGGAGGGGATTCTGGGGGGGAGAGTGAGTCAGGCGCGTGGCAGAGGAGCAGAGAGCAAGACAGGGATGGTGGTGGGGGGGTGGGCAAGGCAGCCTGGGGCAGGTTGGATGGCATGGCAGCAGCAGCGATGGTGGGCGTGTATGTGGCGGCGGGTGATGTCTACCATGCCATGCACTTCCTCCTCTCTGCTGCTGCTGCCCGCCTGCTGCCAACGCCTGCCATGGCCCTTGCACCGCGTGCACCCGCACAAGCACCACCGCTGCCACACTCACCTGCACCTGCCACATCAGCTCCATCCGCACTCCCGCCCTCCCCACCTGCTGCTGCTGCCCCTGCTGCTACTTCTACTGCTGCTGCTGCTGTTCCACGACCTGCCATGTCCCCAACGGCGCTGAACATGGTGCTGGCGGCGCTGCAGCAGGCGTCGCTGCTGCGCCACATGGATGCGCTGCTGCTCTGCTACCTGCACTCGCCCTCGCCCGCCCTCATCCCCCCCCACCCCGCCTCTCTCGACTCTCCTCACGCTGCCCTGCCCTCTCAGCGCCGGCACTGTGAGCAGATGCAGAGGGAGCAGGGGGAGCGTGCAGGGGCTGTGGCAGAGGCAGGTGGAGTGGGGCCACTCGACCCTGCTGGCAGCTCATGCCTCCCCATGCCCTCCCACCCCCCCTGGGCTCGCCTGCCCTGGGATTGCCCTCACTGCTTGCGCCGAGGGGCAGCAAGAGCAGCGGTGCGGAGGGGCTGGGGTAGAGCAGGCAACGGGTGGTTGGAGGAGTGGGAAGGGGAGTATGGTGTGAGGGTGAGTGGTGGCGCGAAGCAGAGGAGTGGGGCGGCAGCACGAGGGACGCTAGTGGGAGGGGGTGGGGACGAGCACGGGGCGGTGGGTGGCGGTGCAGAGTGCTGCTGCTGCAGCAGCAGTGGCGTGGTGGTGAGCAAGGGCACGTGTGAGGTGATGGCACAGGGGTACGGCAGGGCAGGCATGCATGAGCGGGCAGCAGCAGTGGTACAGTACATGGAGGAACAGGGGTACAGAATCGCCCCTCACCTCCTGCCATTGCCGCCACAGGACTAGCGCCTTTCCTCGCTGCGCCAGCTCTACGTGGTGTGCTGTAGTGTGCCTGCTCGGGACGGGAGCCGAGCGTGAAAAGTGGAGTGCTACTAAAGGGTCGTTGCTGACTGCACGCCGTGCTGTGCCTGCAGTTGTGCTGTTATTTCAGATGCATAAAATTGTTTGGGAGCAGCCCCTGTTTGTGCTGCAACCTGTAATTCAAAGCATGCCTTCAGCCACGCTGGGACAGATTGGTTCAAATCAAACAATCTCACTTGCGTGAAACAGATTGCGTTACACACACAAGAACGGAGCCAACCCGAAAACAACCATGTTCTTTGTCCCAACCCAATCAACCTGTGTGTTCCGTGCAGTCACCGTTTCAAACCAGACCAGACCACACAGCAAGAGCAGGCCCCCCTTGCTAGCCAAGATCGTGTCCAAGGATTTGGCTGGTACAGCGATTTCACAAGCAGTGCCTTATGTGTGCCCAAGAGAGAAGGGTGAGTACTAGTTGAATGCCAGGTGAGCAGCACAAGCGGGCTCAATGGGAGAGGGGAGGGCTGGAAGAAACAGCAATACAGGAGACGAGTGGAGGACAGCAGTAGATTAAGAGAGGAAGTGAAAGCAGAAAATGACAGGGCTATGGAATATTTTAGATTGGAACCGGAGTGCGGAAGAGGAATGTGGGGAGAGGGAGAAAGGCAAATGGTGTTCAGGATGTTGAAGAACATGTTGAAAAATAATACATTATATTCAAGCGATATGAGGAACATATACCGTATGCTAACGCACACCATCCAGCAAGCATCACTGGGTAACTGTACGTCTTATGCTACAACTAACCCCTACACCCTGGGAGAGCGATAGACACGGAGGGGCACTACTGCTGCCGCAGCAGCTCCCCCTTCCCTGCCTGAGATCTGTCCCACCATCCACCTGCGCTCGTATCCCGCCACACCAACACGCTCAGCAAGCCGCTTGCAGCAGCCTTTATTGTGCCTCTAGAGCGCATAGCGGACTGGCACCAGCGGGCAGGAGTGGGACACGGGGCGAGCTGCTGCTGCCGCCAAGAGACTAAGCGACGGCGGCAGTCAACCTTGCAGTGGACGTCGCACACCGCACGCCCGCAGCAGCAGCAGCACCAGCCCCCACACGCACACCGCATCTCGTTTGTTGCTCGCCCGAAGCCTCAGGCGAGGCCACGGGAGCGTTGGCGCGTTTACGCCCAGTTGCGCGGGTGCCTGCACACGTCCAGCAGCTCCGCCTCGGGGGTGCCAGGGGCGGGTTCCTGGCCACACACACACGCGAGAAAGGCGGAACAAGGGTTAGGACAGCATAACGCAGAAGCGGAGAGAATCGACAAGATACACCAGGGAGAAGGAGACGAGAGCTGGGGGGGAGATGGGGCGTACTTGGTTGTACTCCCAGCGGGCAGTAAGCGGCATGCTCATGAGGATGCTCTCGATGCGTCCGCCGGTCTTGAGCCCGAAGATGGTGCCGCGGTCGTAGATCAGGTTGAACTCCACATACCGCCCGCGCCGCAGCTGCTGCCACTCCTTCTGCTCCGCGGTGTAGGGCGTGTCCTTGCGCTTCTCCACGATGGGCACGTACGCCGGCACCACGGCGCCCGCGCACTCCTTGGCCAGGTTGTACAGGATCTCGGGGTCGCGTTCGTTCATGTCGTCATAGAAGATGCCACCGCAACCGCGGCGCTCGCCACGGTGCTGGGAGAGGAAGAAAAGTAGAAGTGCAGAACAGAAAAAAAACAGATGATGAACTTTCTTGCCTCTCGAAACAGAGAATGTACGAGATGATTGTTCGTTACACAGTAAACGGTTCGTTATGTGTGCATGCGTGTGGGGGCCATGCGAACAAGCGGTGTACCTTGATGAGGAAGTACTCATCGCACCACTCCTTCATTTTCGGGTACAGCGCCGGATCGATCTTCTCCACCGCCGCCTTCTGGGTCTGCAAGTGCCGCCAATACGCACATCAAGAGGCAGAACCCACCAGGGAGTTAGCAACGGATGAGCAAGGAGCGAGGAGCTGACGAGAAGAGTTAGCAACAGATAGGCAGCAAGGCGTATGGGATACTGACCCCGTGGAAGTGCTTCATGTCCTCTTCGAAGAGGTATGAGGGAGTAATGTCCGTGCCGCCGCCGAACCACCAAGCGCGGGGAGCGTCCTTCGCACCCTCGGGGGCGTCGGTCTCAAAGTAGCGGTAGTTGAAGTGCATGGTAGGGGCGAAGGGGTTCCACGGGTGCATCACGGAGCTGATGCCGCACGCGAAGAAGGGAATCCTGTCGCCCTCCTTAGCGTTTCCTGGCGCGGCCTCGCCCGTGGCTGCGCGGTAGGCCTCGCGAGGCATGGTGCCGTACACCACAGACACGGCCACCCCTGCCTTCTCCCACACATTGCCGTTTTGGAGAACAGCGGAGATGCCACCGCCGCCACCAGGCCTGGATCACGCGCAAGGGGGGAAGAGTCCAGTTTTGTAAACAATCCGACGATCAGATCGCGTGCCAAGCAAATGATGAGACGGCGGCATGTCAAATCTGAATGCGCTTACCTCATCCAGGCGTCGCGACGGAACTTGGCTCCATCGACCTTCTCGATGGCCTCGCAAATGTGGTTCTGAGCGTTCAGCACGAGGCTCTCGAACCGTTGGCGAAAGTTGGTGGGATCCGGCTTGTTCCAGTCGCGCACCTCACCCTCCCTGAGAAGCGTAAGTGGGATGTCCGGAAGAGCAACCTCCTTCTCAATGCCAACGGTGGCCCGGATGGGCTGAACCTTGGCCTTCACATTTTTTGCGACGTTAGCAGCAACAACCTGTCGCTGACTGACCGAGCGCGCGAAGGAGAGATTTTCAACCTTGCGAGACTCGGACTTCACGGATGTTGCAGCGAGGCACGAAGCCTTCACAGCGGAGGACGTGGAGACAGCGGCCATGGTAAAGTGGGGAAGGCCTGGTTGAGTTGCTCTAGCAGATCAGCAGAAGCGAGGAGCTGCAGCTGGAAGGCAGCAACAGCAGAAGAGCGAGAGCAAATTTCAGGATGTCACGATCTTCGAAATTCTTTCCAATTTGAGCTTTCACAAAGCCTTGGGAGTCTCAGGCCAGGTGGCGCATTCGGGAGTACACGAAGAGCATGAGGAACCAATGCTCGCATGAAGCTCAACGCGCTGCGACGCTGGAAGGCTTCAGCTATGCGCTGTCAACAAGCGACACGACACGTGGAGTTCTGGACGAATAGCGCCAAACCAAAACAAAACGCAATCTCCAAGAGACTTTGCGTCAGCAGGGGCAAACACTAATCGAGAAGTCCATGGAATTCGAAACAATGCTTAGCCGTCGATCTCTTATCGAGCCAGCGGTTGCGCCTGGTGCATCGACAAAAGCGCAATCGCAATCATGTGAGCTCAGGGAGGGATGCTTTGATATACGCATCACATTTAGCAATCGCATAGATATACTGCATACACCTCCGACAACTATAAATTATCATGGATAAATCATGATTGTGCTACAGATGTTGAACAATTAAGAATTCTCTCTTCAAATTGAAAACTATTAATGTGACCCAAAATCATACATACAGCCCAGTGCAAGATTGGTCAAACCATCGAAACAACCTGAACGTACGTTTCAATGATCCTCATCCGAATGGCATGCGGGTGAGAGGGATCGACCCAAAACATAAAAGCATAATGATAACATATCTTAACAGGGCGTACTTTATGTGGATAAAGAAGTTAGCAGGATAATCAGCAGACACGTCGTACAAGATAAAATGCAACTGAAGAAACTAAAAGTGAGGGGCGAGGGTAGGGCACTTGGGCTGGCGAGGGGTTTCTAGCACTGGTGTCTTCGTCTATGCTTGTGTTTGTGCTCAAGTCCCAAGTTGAAGCACAAGGCTCTTCAAGTTGAGTATTGGGACTAGGCTGGATTTGTAGAGAGTGTCGCAGGGAAACACCTAGGTCACCAAAATTAGTAATCTTGATGCCCGCGGCCTGCAACTTGGGACTCGGGCTTTAACTCTTGTGTTTTAGTTCCAATATGATGAGGAAACTCCTAGCAGAAATTTGTGTTTTCTAGTACACATGAGGCTCATTAAAAGGCTGTCCCTCCTGAGGTTACCATGTTCTACTTAAGCTCAATGCAGAATTTGCATGCGATAGCCCATGCGTTACAGACACCCGCACAAAGCTTGGCTCTGGCTCTGCCACTGTGTTTTATGTGCGTGCGAAAAGAACAAGCATAGAAATAACCGGGTACGGGTGGTGTTCAACGCCGCTAAAAAAAACATATTCAATATTTCGTGCGCAGAGACTCGTTATCTTTGTACTTTAGGACCCAGCCAGTACTCTCATGGACCCATTTTGCCTCTGATAGTTTTGGCTCAACTAATTCAAGACCATAATGTCAGATTACAATTGTATCTCTAGGCTACAGTAGGGTCACTCCTTAGTGAGTACAACACTTTAAGGTTAGGTTTCCCCTACTTGTACTCACCTCTTGCCTAGTCCAATCCATCATTCCTAGTTGTATTCTTGACATGTTATCAGAGTAGGAACCGTTCCTACATGGGCCCACCGTTCCGCCTAGTGGTAGCGCCACGCCCTACACAGTAGCCAGCGCGCTGGCGCCCCTAGCTCTCACTGTCGCAACCCTTGCAGCCCGTGCACTGCCCCTGCGACCGCGCTGCCCCTGCAGCCGTGCTCGCCCCTACGACCGTGCTGCCCCTTGCAGCCGTGCTCGCCCCTGCTACCGTGCTGCCCCTGCAGCCGCGCCTGCCCCTGTGGCCCGCGCGCTGCTCCTCCAGCCCGTACGCTGCCCCTGCAGCCCGTTCACGCTGCCCCTGCAGCCGCGCGTCGCCTCTGCAGCCAGCCCGCGCGTCGCCCCTGGAGCCCGCGCGCCGCCTGTGCAGCCCGTCCTCGCGGACCCTGCAGCCCGCGCGTCGCCCCTGGAGCCCGCGCGCCGCCTCTGCAGCCCGTCCTCGCGGACCCTGCAGCCCGCGCGTCGCCCCTGGAGCCCGCGCGCCGCCTCTGCAGCCCGTCCTCGCGGACCCTGCAGCCCGTGCGTCGCCCCTGGAGCCCGCGCGCCGCCTCTGCAGCCCGTCCTCGCGGACCCTGCAGCCCGCGCGCCGCCTCTGCAGCCCGTCCTCGCGGACCCTGCAGCCCACGCGTCGCCCCTGGAGCCCGCGCGCCGCCTCTGCAGCCCGTCCTCGCGGACCCTGCAGCCCGCGCGTCGCCCCTGGAGCCCGCGCGCCGCCTCTGCAGCCCGTCCTCGCGGACCCTGCAGCCCGCGCGTCGCCCCTGGAGCCCGCGCGCCGCCTCTGCAGCCCGTCCTCGCGGACCCTGCAGCCCGCGCGTCGCCCCTGGAGCCCGCGCGCCGCCTCTGCAGCCCGTCCGCGCGGCCCCTGCAGCCCGTACAAGCTGCCTTTGCAGCCAGCGCGGCGCCCCTGTAGCCCGCGCGTCCTGCCCCTGCAACCTGCGCCAGCGCCCTGCCCTGCGCGCGCTGACGCCCTGCCCTGCGCCAGCGCCCTGCCCTGCGCCCGCGCCCTGCCCTGCGCCAGCGCCCTGCCCTGCGCCAGCGCCCTGCTATACCCTAAATATAATTAAATTGTTTATTAAAAAAAAAAAAAAAAAGAGGACCCTAGGTGCTTCTGCCCTAGGAGCTACTGCCTACTACTGCCCTGCTGTGGCCGCGCGCCGCCCTGCTCTGGCCGCGCGCCGCCCTGCTGCTGTTACTACTGCTGCTGCTCCTACTCGTGCTACTGGGAGTGGAGGAGGTGCTGCTGGGAGTGCAGGAGGTGCTGCTGGCGCTGTAGGAGCTGGAGGTGCTGGACCTACTCCTGACCGTCACTGTCTGTCATGGCCACTTCCGCGGCAGTTGCTGCGGCCAGGGGTGGACAGCAGCGGGCACTGCTTCTCCCAGACAACCCCACCCCTCAGCAGCTTCGTGAGTGGGTTATTCAGCGAGGTCGTCCTGGTGGTGGAGGTTATCGTATTGTTAGGACTGCTGCTCTTGGTGTTAGTGAGTCTGCTGCCGCTCCAGGTGCTAGTGAGTCTGCTGCAGCTCTAGGTGCCCGTGAGTCTACCGACGCTCTAGGTGCTAGTGCGTCTACTACCACAGGTCCTGCCTCAGCTGAGGTCTTGCACACTTTCACGCTTGACTCAGGCGCGTCACGTTGCTTCTTCCGTGATTGCACCACAGTCACACCACTCACAGCACCTGTCCCAGTCGCACTGGCTGACCCCTCTGGGGGCCCAGTGGTTGCGAGAGCCTCCACGGTCCTCCCTTGTCCAGCAGTCCCCTCTGGTTCTTTGTCAGGTCTCCACCTCCCCACGTTCTCGACGAACTTGGTGAGCAACGCTGCCATTCAGGATGTCTGGGTTGATACCTTTATTCCTGGAGGGCAGCGTGTGGCGATCTGTACGTGCTCCCGGACTGGCCGTCACCTGGCTACGTTCACTCGTCAGCCTGGGTCTAGTCTGTACACACTGACCACTGCGTCTGCACAGGTGGCTGAGTCAGGTCAGGTAGCTGCGTCGAGTCGAGCATCTGCGTCAGGGCAGTTAGCTGCGTCTTGCTCGTGCAGAGTACTCACGCACGAGACTCAGCGCTGGCACCACCGTCTTGGTCACCCCTCCCTGCAGCGTCTGCGCGGCATGCACTCCCGGCTCCTGGTCTCTGGCCTCCCTGAGACCCTGCCCCCCCTCCCGCGCTCACTTGCGCCGCCGTGTCTTCCTTGCGTCGAGGGGCGGTAGCGCGCCGCTCCTCACTCCTCCGAGTTTCCTCCGACCACTGCTCCTCTGCAGACTCTCCACCTGGACGTGTGGGGCCCGGCCCCCGTCGGTGGGACGGACCAGGAGCGCTACTTCCTGCTGGTTGTTGACGACTACACACGCTACACCACAGTCTTCCCCTTGCGTCGCAAGGCGGACGTCAGCGGTGTTTTGATCCCTTGGATCCGTGCTACTCGTCTCCAGCTACACGAGCGCTTTCATCAGGACTTCCCAGTCCTGCGTCTGCACTCTGACAGGGGTGGTGAGTTCTCTTCTGGCGTCCTTGAGACGTTCTGCCAGGATGAGGGCATCGCCCAGTTGTTCACGCTTCCGGCCTCTCCGCAGCAAAATGGGATCGCTGAGCGTCGCATTGGCCTGATCATGGAGGTTGCTCGTACCTCCATGATCCATGCGGCTGCTCCCCATTTCCTGTGGCCGTTTGCGGTCCGATACGCCGCGCATCAGCTCAACCTCTGGCCCCGTGTCTCTGCTCCAGAGACCTCGCCCACACTTCGTTGGACGGGACAGCCTGGTGATGTGTCGTCGTTTCGGGTCTGGGGCGCGCTCTCCCTTGTTCGCGATACCAAAGCGAGCAAGCTCTCTCCTCGCACTCTCCGCTGTGTCTTCCTGGGCTTCCCCACCGACGCTCCACCCTGGCAGTTCTACCACCCTGCCTCGCGTCGTGTTCTGTCCTCTCAGGACGTCACCTTCGACGAGTCGGTCTGTTACTACCGACTTCACCCGCACGCGTCCCACCCGGTCCCCCTTGCACCCCTCTTCCTGGTACCAGTCCCCCCCCCGGTAGACCCCCTCCCCCCACAGGGTCCTGCTCCCTCAGGTGTGTCCCAGGTAGACCCACCCCCCTTGGATGAGCCAGTTGAGATCTCTTCTGACTCCTCTGACTCACCTGAGGGGGGTGACGCCGTCGCCGACGACACGGCGACCGCTCGCCACACTACTCGCTTGGCGACCCCCCCGGGTTTCCCGCCACGGCCGTCTTCGCCGCCTCCGCAGCCTGCTGCTGTGGACTCTGGAGCTGAGACTACTGGAGCTGGGGCTGGGGGTGGTGAGTCTGGGGGTGCCCGCTCTCCTCGTCTGGCTACCCCCCCCGGGTTCCCACCTCTGCCGTCTTCGCCGCCTCTGCAGCCTACTGCTGTGGACAC